ATCTGTTCATGACAAGGGATAGAAAGGACTTGAGAATGCTGAGCTTTTGTTGTAAGTGTCAAGCTAATGCTACCTTGGGGAAAAATATTTTGAAACTATCCTTGAAGTTACCTTGATGGATTAGAATTGTAACAACTGAAAAGTTACATGAGAGAGCTGACAGGCTGCTGACCTGCTTTGCTGAAATAACAATGATCAGAGAAGCTATTTTCAGTGGTTAATTTAATTCTTCTGACAAGTATGAAGAAGTATAGATGTTGAAGGTCAAATTCTGCTAAGAAGTTCTGATATGCTGCTTATGTCCAGAGATCCACCAGCAACTAGAGATCAAACTCTTGTGTCTTTCTCTCTGACAACAGAGATATGCACCTCAAATATATAGAACCAGTTATCTAAGTGGATGCAGAACTTTGCTGCATTATACAGTTACAGTATCACTGAAGTGTTGTCTTCCCCCTGAAAAAAGGTAATCTTATTTCGAAATTGCTTAACAGCCCCCCTAAACAAAAATTTTAAAAATCTCTTTCCTTTATTTTTCTTTTTACCTTCATAAATTCACTTTCTCTGACAATAAGTTTTTTTTTTAAGGGAGTTAGAAGACTTCCCATTTATATTTGTGAGGGTTTGATGTTTGATTTTTGTTTTGTTTTGTTTTGTTTTGTTTTCATTTTTGTATACCATACTTTCATCTTTGCATACCATCCTACTGATCAAGGTCAGACGCAGAACCTTGCCATCAGACTGGCTTTATGGACACTCAAGAACCTAGCCCTTTCTCCTAGTTTTTTCTTTCTTCTGTTTCCTGTCCTCTGTTATTCTCCTTTCCAGATTTACCTCTGCTTATGTAGCCTCTCCTATCTTGAAATTTCTTTGTTTATCAAAATCAAACTAAAATTTCATATTACCTCACTGGAAATTTTTTATTTGAGATTTTTAATGCTACATTGGAATGGAGGACGTGGCAGTGGTATCACCCTTTATTTACAAAACTCTTCCTTTGTGAAGATAAGAAAAATATCCAAGAAAATAAAAATCTTTTGTCATCCATCAGCAAACTTACAAGTACTGTGAATTTAATTTTTCTCAATCTCTCCTCTTGGATTTCATTTCTAAGAAAATATTGTGATCCAAACCTTAAAAATCTTTGTGCTGTATCTCTCTGGTTTTTACTCTTTTCTTAGTTATGTTAGTTTTCAATGTCACTGCAGTATGAACCACCTCTAGGTGATATTCAAGAGGGATCATATTTAACGAAGTGATTGGACATTACAAAGTAGCTGAATTTAGGCAAATATTTATTTCATAGGGGTTTTTCCCCATTTTTTAAATTGTTCATAGCAAGAACCTGATGAGTTTTGTAAAACTGCTTGAAGACTAGCAAACAACATCTCCTGCTCAACTTTCCAAGATAATTCCCCTAATTAAAAGAAAAAAAATTAAAAATAAAGAACTAAAATGTGTATGAGAAATAACAAGTTGACTTGTGAGTAGTACAAATCATAGAAGTCTGTGTGGACTGGAGAAGCAGAATCTACTCTCCTGTATTGCTTCATGCCCACATTTTTTAATATACTTAGATATATGTTTACTTATATCAATTTGAAATTCTGTATGTTTATTTTTCTTTACTTCTTTCACAATTTCCTAGGCCCCTCACAGGTAAAAGAGAGATAAAGTTCATGCTTAGAAGGTAGAAAAAATATCTACTGAGCATTCTGTAGCTGATATGTATTTCATTCTTGTGAAATACAGGGTTTAGGGATGGATGCCAAAGGAACTCAAGCTTTTTATCCTCTTCCCTTTTTTCCTGGATTTGGACCCAGACTGTAATTTCTAACCTGAGGCTGCAAAGATATTTACAAATGAATGCCCAGAGATATGTTATTGACACTCCAGTCTTCATTTTATGTGTTACATGAGAATTATTGACCATATATTGAATTAGTACTGAACACTCAGAGAAAGCTGCATTGGTAAGATCCTCCAAGCCTGCACAAATGTGAAAATAAATTTGGTTTCAAATACAATTATTTGTTCTAGGCAACAAACAACTGCCTCTAAGGATTTGCTTCTGAGGTTGGCTTCACCTTTTTACACTGGTTCAACTCTGCCAAGCACAGTTAGCCTCTTTTCTCCCAGAAGAAAGACTGTGCTTCACATATCAATTACAGAATGTCTTTGAGTCTCTAATTAAATTGTCTCTATTGTAATTATATGAATTTTAAAAATAAATCTTGAAAACCTCTTTGAACATCTGTGAAAAATCCAACATTTTATTAAGAGTTTAGCTGCAAATTGTTAGAGATTCTTATCATTAGGTATGACACATGGCTTATAACAGAGTAGGTTAAATGAGTAGTGCTGTGTTACACTTGATACACACTTAGTAGGAACACTGTGGTATGATACTTATCTGTCTCATTTTCTTGTCAAGTCAGTTCATTTCAAGGGTGACTGTTAGGGTTTTTCATTGTACCCAGAAAGTAGCTCTTGGGACACCATAATGGAACAGAAGGTGTACTGCATGTGTAGTAATTCTCTGTGACTAATATTTTTAAGCTAGGAAAAGTTCTTGAAATAGTAAAAAAAAAACAGATGAGAAACCAAGTCCACATGTGTTGAGTCAGAGGAAGACTCATTCAACCTACAGTCCTGCCTCTGCCCCCCAATGTGTTTTGAAAAACCCTGCGAGCATGTAGCGGAACTTTGGCACTCACTGGTAATTTGGGTTGAAGGGATTAATCAGCAGAGAATTCTTTGTGTTTGCTTTTTAATAAAAATTTAACCTGGTTGAATTCTTAAGCATGCATATGTATTAGATTTTGACACATTAGGCACGAACTGTGCCCCATTAACCATTTTGCAGTCTTTTTGTTCTAAGGCATTTTTAGTGAATTTTACACACCACAAAGAGCTTGTTCATTTTCTGGTCTGGTCAAAAACTCTTTAAATACCTTATAGACCTCGTGATTTGCTGCTGATCGTTTTATGAGTTTGCTTTAAAGACTTTTCTACTTACATTTCAATCTAGTACAGATATGTTCAGCATCTTCCCTGGAAATAAATGCTTCTGGCATGGGAATCTCTCCAAATTTCAGCAGAGCAAACAGGGAAGATATATTTCCCTTCATACTCTGGTGTAGCTTACCTCCTCCGAAGATTTTCTTTATATTTTGATAATCTATTGGCACTCTACCCCCTGGTACACATTTTTCTTCCAATGCATTTGGAAAAGGATTTAGAAGCTGTGGATGCTTCATTCCTGAAAGTGTTTAAGGCCAGTTTGGAGGGGGCTCTGCGCAACCTTTTCTAGTGCAAGGTGCTCCTGTCCATGGAAGGGTGATTGGAACTAGGTGATCTTTCAGGTCCCTTCCATCACAAACTGTTCCATGATTCTATGAAAATATTTTCCCCCAAGAATCTTTCATAATTTCTAGTAAGCTTCATTATCTTACTCATTAGGAATACTGACAGTTTTTAATGTGAAATTGTTTCCTGAGACGTGCAATGTATCACCTCTGAGATTCGAATATCTGGGCATTTATTTTATATATATATTTGTCAAATCCTGTAAAAAGGGATTTTCATTGAACAACTACTCAGAAAACCCTCAGAGGAGTAACAACTCTTTGGCTGATTTTTCAAAAAATACAAAAATATTCAAAATTCCTGACACTGAAGAGATGGATTTTATTTTTTTATTTATTTCAGTTATAGTTTATTACAAAGAAATAGCTTAAAACCTTGAATAAAGTGTAATGGATTTAAAGCTATATACAAAAAAAAGAAAAAAGTTTATTTTATTTTTACTGGTACTTAATAGATGCTATTTAATCAGAATGGGAAAAAACTACTTGAATAATATTTATAGCAGATACTTCGTAACGTTATTCGATACATAATAATGCTAAATAACTGTACAAATAACACCATTAACAAAGCCACTGAATAGTATTCAACTACATTCTAATATGAACTCTCTTCTATAATTGCTATTCTGGTTATTAATGGTCTCTAAATTAATTACTGTGCTACACTGACAGTCTACTTAGTGGTTCTTCCTCTGTTATCTACTGCCTCTTAGATTACAGTTTTGCCAAAGGCTCACTTCTGCAAGTATTTCTACATTGCAATATGTCATACATAAAAATTCTGTTGTAGCTACAAATTCATTTTTATCAATATATTAGAAATATACTTCAAATCTTTACAAATTGCTTTTCTTACTGCATCTGACATGCTTAGCTATAAAATCACTTTATTTTTTAAAATATAGTTGTTTTGGGTTTTTTTCCCGCATGCATTATATTTTCTCATAAAACAGAATTTAGAAATAATGTATTATTTATAAAAAGCCAACCTTTGTTACCAAAGGTGTGAAACAAAACATTGGTCTTTTAGGAAAAAAAGGTTACTTTCTTACTTTCCTGGTTTGCTTTCCATTTCAGTCATTGTCATTTGGTAAAAATTTATCTTTCCAAAGAGAAAGAGATTGCTCAATAATCAGAATGTAAGGATAATAATTTGCTAAGTAGAAAGGACAAATATGAAAAGAAAATTAGTGGATGAGTTTTCTATAGTGGAAAGAGCATTATTCTGTTTTGCTGTGAAGTACTGTCGGCTTCATGTATCTTTTTTCACAAAGATAATGAATTAACTGCAATTTAATTAATGCAGAAGACCAGCCATGAAGTTTATTATTGAATACTCTATTAAACTGTGGCAGTTTGAGCCACATTAGAAATCCAAAATCCAATTTCCAGGTTTCGCCCCACCCCTTCCCACAATTTATCCTTACACCAAACAGAAACTTTCAGGCCAGAGTCTTCTGTAGGGGAAGAGGAAAGTATATACATTTATTTACACAAATAAATATACTGTACAAACTAAAAGCAGCTATATACATATATATATATATATATTACATTTCTATCGGTCCTTTAAGCTCCTCCCTTTAACTTTAGTCCAGGACAAGCCTTTCAAGGCTGCTGGGTAACGTAGTCTCTCTCTCATGGGAGTGTTCAGGGCCCGAACACTCCCCCCTCACCAAGCTCCAGCTGTTTGTGGAAGTTTTGCCTCCTCACGAAGTCCAAGAAGGTAGTTTTGAGTCTTTTTTCCTCCGTCCTGTGTCATTTCTGCTGTGTGATCTTTCCCTCTCGGTCTCACACCTCGGTTCGTAGGCTGCTGCAGTGTAGTTCAGCTTATCAAGCGTCCTCCGAGTCAGTTTTCGGCTGCCCCCAGTCAGCTTTGGCAGGCAGCTCCCGAGCTCTTGGCCCGTCTCCAATTTCACCTGGGATTCTTCTCCTGAGCGCCGAGCCTCCTCCTCTGGCCCATCTCTTGGATCAGCTTCAATGCTGAGCCTCTCCTCCACTTTACAGTGGAGGGAAAGAAAAAGCCCCCTCAGCTTAACTGCAGAAAGGAGGGGAAAGAGAGAGCTTGGTTGCAAAGCCTGCCTCTCTTCTCTTACCTCAGGTGCTGTGAATCCCTTCCTTCACAGCACACACTCCAAATGCTGCCTCTTAACTCCGGCCTAGGCAGAGCTGGGGGCCGCAGGGCTCCCCTTCCCCCTCGAAGGGGAAAAGAGGGAGCCCAGCCACCCCCTGACATTCTCCACCTACACGCAGCAGACACCAACAGCAGAACTGCCAACAGCTTCCAGTGCTGTGTATATATGATTTTCCAGCAGAAGAGAACAACATGAGTGGTGATTGGCTCTCCAGGGAACACTGTCCTAGCACCCAATCACCTCTGAGCCCCCCGAACTCTCAGGGGGGACCAATTTCAAACTATGACATCAACATCACTCTGTGCTTATTTTTTTTTTTTATTTTTCCTCACGTGTTAAATGTAAGTTGAGGCAATGAGTTCTTCAGCTTGGTGAATTCTGGTTTGAGTTGTCCATATTTTGATTGGTCATTTATTGGTGTTCTTGAATATTATCTGATTTTCTCTAGAGTGTGAAGAAAAGAATCATGTTCACAATGACTGGACTGTTTCTCAAGTTGTAATGAGTAGTGAAGTCTTAGGTGCTTTCAGAAAGGACTGGACAAATAAATGGAAGGAAAAAAAATCACCAAAACTTATTTAACATGAAGTCATTACATGGTTAATGTGCTGATTGAAACACTCATAACTGGAGCAGAAGGGGAGTATTGCTAATCTGTATTTTACATTCTTGTCTATATATCTTCTATTTGTGATCTCTAGATATAGGAAGGTTTGCTGACTGGACCTTCTTTCTTCTATTAGAATTTGTAAATTGGATTGTTGACAAAAATTACTTAGACACTTGTGGAAGTGTTTTTGAATTATCATTATCTGGTGGAGGTTTATCTTTAAAGTGAATATCTGCTTCTTTATTTAGTGTCTTATTTAGTTTAGCTTTCTGGACATTTGAAAGTAGACATAAAAGTCAAACACAGCTTAAAGTGGCTAATTCCACTTTTTCTCATAATCAGTAGGAATAATAACAACAGAAATATCTGATTCCTGGTTCTGGTGCAACACAGGAATATTGTACTTTTAAGACGAACAAGTTGTGGGAAGAGTAAAAAAATCAGAAATATTTATATCTTTGAAAGTGTATCAATTTTATTTTTCCCTCTTTAGCACAGTAAGACACTTCATATTTTGTATCTCCTTTGACTTTACATTTTCTTTCATTTTTTTTCCCAGCCCTAAATATTTATTTGAATTAGCCTAGAATTGAACAACTAAATTCATTTGTGTTCCTCTGTTATTTACACCCCGATCCCTCTTTATCTCAGTTGGAAATTTTCAAGAACTCCTTTCTTTTTTAAGTTTCACTGGGGACAATGAGGACAACCTTGGGACAGGGGAAGGGTTTGTTCTCTTTCTTTTTTTAATATATGCATTTATTTTCTGCTGTACATTATACTTAAAAAGGGGTATCTGTTCTAAAAAGGGTATTGAAATTTTGAGAGCATAAAAAATATCTTATCAGTATGAGCAACAGGACAGGGAGAATTTAGGGCCTGAACTGCTGGTTTTCTATCATGTCTATCATCAAAGAAAGTAAGAATTTTTTCTTTTGTAATTTATAGAGACACATATTCTTTTCTTAGCTTTATTCTTATTTGGTCTTTTCATCCTTGATTGTTTTGGAATTAACAGTATTTTAGAATAAGAAGGGAACGAACAACCATCTCACTTTAAAAGAAGTACTCCACCAGAAACACTCCTCTGAACTTCCATTAATTTTAATTCTTACTTTGTGCTTTTTTTTTCTTGATTACAGAATTGTATCAAATAACCTATTCCATTACTTAGTGCAGCCAAAAATATTTGTTAAAAAAGTGAGACTGTGTCATGTTCAAACACACGTCTGGTTACATTCTTACTCATATCTGTACAAATGTCTATGAGAGATGTTTGTATTTGCTAATTATTTTTGGAAAAAAATAATGTAATGGTTCAATTCTTTAATTGACTTGTTTTTATATCCTACTGACTGTTATAATTCGAAGCACCTACTGCTTTAATCTTCTCCTGAAATTGAACCACATTTTAAAGCTTCAGTACTTGACAAAATTTTTATCAATTACATGCCCTGCTCTTCAAAATATCTGAAGAATTCATGTCAACATCTGACCTGGAACTGTGGTAAAGGATTTTAAGCACAGCAACTGACTGACAAAGAATTTCAGGGACCCTCAAAATACTAAAATTCTTCAAAAATGTATATTTATTAATATTTTAATGTCTTAATCAACAGTGAGGCATCTGAACATGGTACAATTAAAAGGAACAAAAACGTAGCTTTGGAAACCTTAATTCCAGATTCAGACTTCAAAATCTAAGCTGGATGACTCTTTTAAATTACTCAAAATTGAATAGTGTCCTGAAATATAAAAATATTGTCCTGTTTATATAGGGTATAAAAATGCTTGCTTATGGGCTTAATATTGTTTGATTTTTTTCTATATAATGCTTTAGCAATTCATTGGAGTTTGCATCTCTGAAGTAATGCATATAAAACTATACTTCTTAAATTTATTGGTATCATCCAACAAATTCTGCTAAGGTGTTTATAATATCTTTTAAACAAAATTGTGATAGGTATTCCACAGTATTCTGATCCAGTGCTCTTTGCCATATAATCAACAAAAGCAACATGTTTGTAATGGAAGGCTGATCAGAGTCCCATTTGAATCAGACCTTCACAAAAGTTTTCTTGTGAAGGTGGAGAAAAAATATATTAGTCAGGTGATCTCATGGCCATGCTGTTAGTGCCTTTGACCAATTACGTCATTGATTCTAGCTTGTTTATTATATAATGTTCAAGGAGGTCAGATTTGTGCAGACATAAATTACTCGGGCATGGTGCATGCTGCTTGCTCCAGCTGAGTAATGTTGAACATCTGGGCAGAGTCTCTTTGTGCTAGTCTGTTGCACAACAGATTCAGAAATGCTAAGCAGCAAGTAAGCTCTGCCTCAGGATAGTGGTGTTGATGTTGATAATATTGGTGTGCCCAAAGGAATTAGCATGCTTTCTTAGACTCTGGTCCAACACGTTTTTATTCATGTGAGTAAAATTTTCTCACTGGAATATTCCTATGGTAATCAACAAACCTCATGGCAGTAAAAAGATAACAAACCCAACTAACTATTAACCATAAAGAAATCCCTCCTCCTAAAATTCCCATAGTCAAGAGATGTTTTTTAATGTGTCTCCCTAAGCAGAGGCAGTTAAGGCTTATGCAACTGTGCTTTCTCTTTCTGTTTCTGTCTCTGGGTATCTTCTTCCCTACAATTTTCAGTCTATTCACTATGTTGGTTGAAATTAGAAAGAATGGCAAGAGGTCCCTGAGTATTACAGGCTTTATAGCTATAATCAGCCCAGTAGAAAAGAGATTAATGAGTCTGAGCTCGTACCTAAACCTTCACTTCAATAAACACCAACGCTCTACACGGGCGGGACACCAAGAATAAAAAACCTTGCTTGGTACGTACTTAACAGTCATGTAAATCTAAAACATTATTCCTAATATGGGACACCAGTCATTATTTCTCTTGCTCACTGAAATACTCGGTTTGCTTAAAAAATTGGCACTACGTGAAATAAATTGTATGTTTCTAACTACAAATATACTGAAAATTTTTATGTGTTCCAATGTTATCAAAATTGCAAATATTCTCTACATTCTTTCTAGACCTTTATTTGGAAAAAAAAAATCTAAATAATGAGTAGTTGCTAGCAGGTTACTGGGAACTTCTGGACATCCCAGTGGAGAACAGGACTCACAGCCAAAATATATAAAGGACAGACAACCTTTAAATTTGCATAAATCAGTCAAATTTTGTATATGAAATGCAACTCCAGGCCCCTGTAAAGTAGGGGAAAAAAGGAATTGAGAAAAGGTGCTCTATTCCTCCTGGAGATGTAGGACTACCTTGTGATCTCAGTTATGTATGAAATCTCATTTTAAAATGCCATTTAGTTCAGTAGGGACTACGGTGCCTAAGAAAAACAAAAGTAGAATTTTTAGGCAATTTTTCATTCATTCTCATCAAAATTAAATGATTGGGTATTCTTTTACATATATTATTATATTACTACATGTATTTTTTTTGTCTTGATTTCTCACATTCCCCTCTTCTCCCTCAGCCCTCACTTTTTCATGTATTGCAGTAATCAAATAGCCCTTGGCACTAAAAACCTCTTGAGCAGGTTTTGAAATGTGCAATTTCAAAAAAGAGTTCTCAGGGGACCTCTTGTATCATGCGTACAATAACATTTTCTCTAAAAATTTTGAATCTTGAAAAGACTTTATACATAATACCTTTTTTCCTCATTTTTATATTACTGTTCTCTACTGAACATAAAAATAAATAGACAAGATTCCCCAAATCAAACATTATTCTTTTGTTTTCAGAACATTCATGCACTGAGCAGTTAGGCAAAAACACCGTTGTTGGTAATTATTTACTTTTATGTTTAAATAGCATACACTTATGTACCATAAGTTACAAATAAAACCTACAAAGTATATATGGGATAACTTTGGCAGAAAAACATGTGAATTATTAAAACAAGTCTTAGTTTCAGTTTATATTTTGCAAAATCTTGGCTCAGC